CGATAATGTTTATAATATACCATAGGATGGAATTCTAGCTTTAAGTAGTGCAGCAGATCATGGAGGTGGGAGCGTATAATCCAAGAACTTGGATGCACCTTGATGAAATGTTGGGTAAGTGATTCCGAGGTGTGCCAATGTGATCTTGCGGAGATGCTGAATAAGGGGAATTTTTTTAGCAGGTAGGCGATGATGTCTGCTGCCCTTCCTTATGGGAGGAACGCACTCATCGAATATTGTACAGTCAGAAAACCGGCTCCTGGATGTCTTCCCCTCATCCGGTTAGATTCTTCTTCAGGAGCATCCCGGATGAGAGACTATGTGAAGATTTTTCTCCTCACAAACAAAGAAAAAAATATATATTCATACAATATTAAAAATTTATTCTGTTGCAATCGAAATACATATTAATGTCGTATTAAAATCGGAAAGACGAAGGAAATATGGTTACGTTCTCATGAAAATGGATGATGGAGGGGTCCATTCTTTATTGTAAGTATATTCATAAAATATTAAGAATTCATTCTGTTGCCATTAAAATAAATATGTAATGTATGATCAATATTTATTACAATTATAACAGTTATATATATATAATATCATTATATTTGGTTGTCCGGAAAGTTCGTGCCGATTTTGAAGGAAAATTGAAACGCAGAAGATTTAAATTTTAGTATACATTTATTAAATTATATAAGTGCCATTCTGTTTTACAACCTTTCTCCATCTTTTAGGCAACTTGAAAATTCCGTCCTTCCAAAATCTCTCAGGTTTTTCAGCGAAAAACTTTTCTACGTGATTTTTTATCTCGACCAAAGAGTTGAAGTTTTTTCCATTAAGGGAATTTTGTAATGATCGAAATAGATGGAAATCAGAGGGCGCGAGATCTGGTGAATATGGTGGATGGGGTAGAACATCCCAACCGAGCTCCAACAACTTTTGTCGAGTTATCAAAGACACATAGGCCGCACATTGTCCTGATGAAACACGACGCCCTTCCGATTCGCTATTTCTGAACGTTTTTATTCAATTGCTTTAATTCGTCTAATTTGGAACAATTCTGAATTTATCGTCTCGTTGTTTGATAAAAGCTCATAATACAGGATCCCTTTCCAATCCCAGACACAGAGCATGACCTTCTTTGGATGAAGACCGGTTTTCGGGGTAGCTAAAGGTGGTTCATTCCGCTTTTCCCAAGATTTTTTTCGCTCAACATTATTATAAATGATCCATTTTTCATCCCCCGTCACTACTTGCTTCAAAAATGTCTTCTCGTTGCGTTTATAGAGCGAGTCGCAAATGGAAATGCGATCCATCAGATTTTTCTCCGTTAAATCGTGGGGAACCCATACATCAAATTTATGTAACCAAGCTTCACAAAATGCTCGTGGATGGTGGATTTTGACATATTTAACATTTCTGCTAATTTACGTGTCGTATAACGTGGGTTATTCTCGATCAGTGTTTTAATCTGATCTTCATCTGTGGTGGAGGGCCTACCCGGGCGTTGATGATCTTTAAGATTGAAATCATCAGCTTTAAACCATTTCCGCACAATTCTTTCAGCTACAGCACTTTCGCCATAAACAGCGCATTTGTATGGCATTTTTGCCTTTCCGGTAAACGAAAAACATTAAATGCCTAAAATGCACTTTGTTTTCTTCCATATTCAAAAGCGTATAAAACTGACAAAAATTAACGTATCGTAACCAAATTTTTTTCCAAATGCCTGAAGTACCGTCTTTTACGATATGTGCGCATGTCATTTGTTTTCAATCGTTCTGATATATTCAGAACGATCTGATATATTCAGAACGGCCTGAACCTCCTTACGCCTACCAAAAATCGGTACGAACTTTCCGAACAACTTAATATAATGTATATGTATAAGATATATACCATATGCTTTAATATTTTATAACTGTATTGAATGAATTGTAGTTTATAAACCGTTACGTGATAAGAATCGAAAATATATACATTTGCGATACTTGCATTACTAGAAAGCTGTCAATGTATATCTGTACTCTGAAAAGTAGGTGATATGTCTAAAAAATCATTAAAATGAAAAAGTCAAGTTATGTTCAAAAACAGATCTTCAAAAGTATAAATATTAAAAACTTAAATGATTACCTAATAATATATTATCATGACAAGTAACTGATATATTATTGAAGATGTCAGTTCAAAATAAACATACATCAAGTGTATCCTCAAATATTTAAACTTTTAAAAATTTAAATGATTATCTGATAATATATTACCACAACAAATAATTGATATACACAGTGCGAAATATGTTCCCGGACACGAACCACATCTCAGCAACCAGTGGCGACATCTGTGCGTTCAAACATGCATTTTAAAGGTTGAACATTTTGCTATCATCTGTCAAAGTTTCATTCATTTTGGTTGACATATAACGAAGATATGATAAGTTTATGTTAAACAAGATTTTGGTCGAGGTAGAAATTTTAATATGGAACAAAGAGCAGTGATTAAATTTAACGCAAAACTTGGTAAAAGTGCATCAGAAACATTCCGATCGATGCAACAAGTTTACGGCAGTTAATGTCTAGGTCGTACAGCTGTTTTTGAGTGGCATAAGCGTTTTTTGGAAGGCAGAGAGACCCTTGAAGATGACAAAAAATCAGGACGGCCAATTTTGGTTCGAACACCCGAAATGATCGAAAAAGTACGTGATTTTGTTGCAAACGATCGCAATGCATCACTAAAAATGATGGAGGAGGCTTTAAATAT